TATATACTTTCCCTAATATAACACAGATATTTCAGCTATAGATTTGTTCCCAGTTCCCAGTATTACAGCTAGTCTTTGATTTAGGATGACAATTGAGCCCAAAAATTCTATTGCTAATTGAGACAGTTGTTAAATGATTTTTTCTCCATTTTACAACCTTTCCTGCCACAGTTGTTAAGTGAATCATTGCAGTTGTTAAGTTAGTAAGATGGCTGTTACTGGCTTTTCCATTGACTTTGCTTGTCAGAATGCCTCAAAAGGTGATCACATGACCCCGGGACACTGCAACCGTCATAAATATGAGTCAGTTGCCAAGCATCATAAGCCACATTTTTCAATGCCACCATAACTTTGATCAGTCACTAAATAGATTGTTGTAAATTGAGGACTACCTTTATGAGTGATTGCATATATTGATTTCTATTTCGAATCATAGAACCATAGGGCTGAAAGGGACATGGGAAGTCTTCTAGTGCAACTTCCTGCCCAAGGCAGGAGACTTTTTTGCATTCCAGACAAATGGCTATTCAATCTGTAATTCTGTTTATTATATAGCGCTACATATCAAATACAATATACAGCCTCCATAGGCCTTGCTGTTTGTTTTCACTGTAACAGGAAACTCTCCACAGAACAAAAGAACCATAGGCTATACCGTATATCTGGGATGGTGAACCTATGGCACGTGTGCCACAGGTGGCACACAGAGCCATTTGTCAGAGCATGCGCGCGCTGGCCAGCTGAGTTCAGCTTTTTTAAAAGCTATTTTGCGCTCTCATCAGGCTCCAGAGGCTTTATGGGAGCCTGGGAAGGGCGAAAACATCCTCTCCCTCCCTGGAGGTCCTCTGGAGCACTAACAAAACGGCCCTGTGGGCAAACTAGAAGTTCAGGAATGGACTTCCAGTTTGCTCGTAGGGCCGATTAAAGCCCTACGGAGCCTTCAGGGGCCTTCCGGAGGATTCCCTGAGGGCTCCGGATGACCCAACGGACATACCGGAAGTCACTTCCGGTTTGCTTGTAGGATTGTTTTTAGTGACTTCCAGTTTGCTCATAGGGTCATTTTTCGTCCTCTGGAGCCTTCAGGGAAGCCTCTGGAAGGCTCTTGAAGGCTCCAGAGGTCTTAAATGGCCCTACAAGCAAACCAAAAGTCCATTCCCGAAGTTCCGGTTTGCCTGTAGGGTCGTTTTTTTGTGCTCCTAAGGCTTCAGGGAAGCTCCTGAAGCCTCGGAGGGCCTTTGGGGGTGGCGAGGAGGCTGTTTTCGCCCTTCCCAGGCTCCTATAAAGTCTCTGGAGCCTGGGGAGGGCGGAAAAAGCATGCAAAAATGACGGGTAGCGCCTGTCATGCACGCATGCACACTGGGGGGTTCTCACATTGCATTATGGGTGCGGCACACCCATGCATGACTCCCCTGTGCTCCCCCTGCTTATGGCATGTGACCCAAAAAAGGTTCGCCATTGCTGCCGTATATTATAGATTATAACTAATAAACTTACAAACACTGCCATCTACTGGCTGAATTCTTCTGTAGTTGTTGCAATACAAAACACATTCCAACATGTATTCCAACACAATATTTTCTTGAAGACTTCCACGATGGAGCACCACAACTCCAAGAAGCAAGATGTTCCATTGATTAAGTGTTCTCAGGAATTTCTCCTTAGTTCCAGATTGGATCTGTCTTTAATGAACTTCTATTATTCTTCTTGTATTGACTCACTATGGCCTCACTAGTGCAGTATAAAGCAGTATTATCACTTTTCATGATCTTGATTCTATTCCTCTGTTCATGCATGGACTTTTTTGTCAGTTGCATCACACTGTTGGCTCAAATTTAAGTGACATCCATTTGGACACCAAGATCCCTCTCATAGTTGCTACATGCCTTGCTTTTCTCATCTGAACTGAACTGCGCCTTACTGGATAGGTCCCAATGCTCGAGTCTGTCAATATTCTTCTGAACCAGGGGTGTCAAACTGGATTTCTTCAAGAGCCAGATCAACATTGTGGTTCTCTGTGAGCTGGTGGGTGGAGGGTGGTGGTGGAGGGGGGGAGGAAATGTCTCCTGCAGCACCCTGCTGGCCAAAAGAGGGCATAGTGGGTCAGCATGTACTCCCCCTGTATCTTGTTTTCACCCACCATGGCCCATTTTCAGGGCCATTTTTTCAGGCCATTTTCTGTGCCATTTTTGGCTGGCAGTGTGTTGTGGGAGGCCATGGAGGGTGAAAACGAGGCTCAAGGGGGCCACACGCAGTTCATTTTAGCTGTCAGAAGCACCGTGGGCTGGTCCTTTGATATTTCCAGGCTGGCCCCATGGGCCAGATTTAACCACCCCATGGGCTGGATCCAGCCTGCAGGCCTTGAGTTTGACACCCTTGTTCTGAACTATGACCCTATCTTCAAAGGTGTTGGCAATTCCCCTCAGCTTGTTGTTGCTGGTAAACCTGATGAGCTCCCATTCTATACCCTGATCTGGATCATTTATGAATATGTAGAAGAATACTAGGACTAAAACAGAACCTTGAAGTAACCCACTGCATGCATCCCTCCATATAGATGTAGTTCCATTAAGGATTTTATGCTGAGTGTGGTTGTTCAGCCCAGTGGAAATCCATCTGGTGGAGTTACCACATCGTTCTATATTAGCAAGAAGTATACTGTGCTCTACTTTGTCAAATGCCTTGCTTACATACTTTTATAATGTGGATAGGTATTTTTTAAACATATTTTGATCTGCATTCTTGTTCTCTCCCCCACTGTACTGCTTTTGGGCTATTGGGCTATTTCTTTCCCCTGGGAAAGAAATAATGGGAGGTCACTCCCATTAGAGGACTAATCATTTTTTTACATTTTTTGGTTCCTTATATATTGAAAGAAACTTTTTTTGGTTAATTTTGGCATTTGTTGAAAGTCTTCGTTCTTTCCTGACCTCAGGCATCCTGACTTCAATTATGCAAATTCAGGCAATTTGCTAGTCTTATTTTTAGTTATGTGTCTCTCTTCCCACTTTTATGCTTGTCCTTTTTGTCCCTCAGTATGTCAGAGAGCTCTCCAGACCATTCTGGTATCATCTGGTGCCCTCTGTTTTTTTTCTCTGTGATATTGTTTTTGTTTGGATCTTTAATATTTCATTTTTCAGAGTTTGCCATACATCCTGAATTTTTTTTTCCCTTCTAGTATTTCCATCCATGGAATCCTTCTTATTCTCAATCTTAATTTGCTGGAGTCAGTTCTTTTAAAGTCTAGAATACTGGTCTTTTTTTAGTTACCTGTGCCTGCACTATGGCAAATTCTAATACAACATGGCCACTCTTCCCCAGAGTTCTTATAGTTTCCATTCCCTCAATTGTTTCATCCCTATTAAGTACAGTTTAGCTCACCCTCTAGTACCAACCTCCACATTTTAGGTGGCAAAGTTGTTAGCTAGGCATTTCAGAAACCTGTTCAATCTTTCACATGCTTTACAGTTTGTTTTCCAGTTAATATAAGGGTAGTTAAAGTCCACCATTATTACACAGGTGTTTCTGCATGCCTCAGCTAACTGATTAGCAAAGAGTTCATCTATATCCCCTGCTTGGTTTGATTTTCTCTATTGATGATATTTGTTTGAATCCTTTATTTATTATGCATTTTCTGTCATTATTATATTGAAGGTATAAATGGTCCAATTTTAAGACTGAGTCCAAGCTTTTGGGAAGGGGATGCTAGTGGTGATTGATTTTTGTTTTTTTCTGCATAAGGAAAAAAATCCAGAATAGCTGCCCAAGGATTACAAAGATGGTAAGCTTACTGAAGTGAGGAGCACAGCAGAATTGTACTCAGGAAAATCAGTAGAGGTCCAAGCTGGATCTGTCCAGTCCTGTAATAGTAATAGTTATAATTTATCAAACTTGATTCTTGTAAGAACTGCATGAGATTTTGCCTGCTGACATCATGAAGTTCCATCATGTCCTCATAGAACCCACACCAGACAAAACAAGTTCCCCACAAATTGGTAAGCAGGAATTTTAAGGGGCAATTTCCTAGAATAATAGTTTCGATTTTACAACAATTTCTCCCAGTTTAGAATTTTGTTCTGAACCTGCCTGCTGGGGTTGGGGAGGGAATAAACAAAACATAAGCCTTTATATTATTAAAGAAACACCTACAATTATTGGCAAAACATTCATAAACTAAGAAATAATTTGCAGTTCTGTTCTGGCAGTCCATAGCCATACGGTGACTCTTGTGTACCAATGAGTGATCAGCATGGGGGATTTCAATTCAGAGAGCACAGAGCACAAGAAGTTTCCACACTGCCATGTTTGTTTTCAGTTAGTGTTCTATTTGAATGCACCCCTGTTACACAAACATCTGTGGACACTACGTCATTGAGATTTTTTGGGTCAGAAGATTCCAACGTAGGGTTTTTCATGAAACTGCCACTGAGTGATCCTTGAAAAAAAAATCCAGAAGTAGACTCAAGACATAATCTAGGCCACCTGTGTATATATTTTATTACAAAAAGCAACAAGATGTTTATGGCACATAAATTGAAGCAGCAATAATTGAGTCAAAATGCCACAAAATACAGATCAGAGGAAACTTGGTTGAAATTATTTGTTTTTAACATGACTATTTAAGATCACAGTCTTTCTCTTTATGATCATATAATAGTCCCAGTTTGGTTTTCTGGTTCCTTCATGCCTCATCATTCTTATCATATCTAAGATTTTTAAAATACCACACACAAACAAACACATACAAACATCTATATAGACATAGACCCAGGCAGCTCTTTGAGGTTGCATCATTAACATTTAGCAGTTGGATACAATGAATTGATTTAGGAAAAATATAGTATCTTGGGTTAATTTTCAAATGTATGAATCCCAATACTCCCTTAAATGAAAGCAAGACAAATTCATTTAAATAGTCTTCCAAGTATAAATATGTCAGGTAATTATTAATGTACACAAATATTTCTCTAGCCAGATATACGTTACTGTAGTTCTAAGGGTATTCAGTGTTTGGTATAAAAAAGTAATGCAACTTTTTCCCCCAGAATTTTTCTGAAGGCAACTTTTACCTCCTGGTTCCTCAGGCTATAGATCAAGGGATTGAACATTGGAGTCACTATTACATACAACACAGAAGCTATTTGATTTGTATAATGAGACTTGCCAGGTTGTGCATAAACAAAGGCAAGACCTCCATAGAAAATAGTGATGACCATGAGGTGAGAGGTACATGTGGAGAAGGCTTTCCTCCGAGCCTTGGCAGAGTGCATTTTTAAAATGGTAATCAGGACATAAATGTAGGATGTGAGAATAGCCAGGATTGTTGCTATTAAAGTGAAGCCAATAAACACTAATTTCAACAAATTATTTAAACTGATATCTGAACAGGCAAGTTGTAACAGTGCAGGACCCTCACAGAAAAAATTCTTAATGATATTTGATCCACAGAAGAACAACCGAGATGCAGGAATGATATGCACTAAAGAATGTAGGAGCCCAATAATGTAGGAAATGACTACTAGTTGAACACATTTTAATTGGGACATGATGACCAAGTAGACAAGAGGGTGACAGATGGCTACATAGCGATCATAGGCCATGATAGCGAGGAGGAAACACTCTGCAGTGGAAAGTGCACCATAAAAGTAAATTTGAGTAAAACAACCTACAAAAGAAATATCTTTTTTCTCTTTTAAAAGATGGCATAGGAACTGTGGGGTGATAGCTGATGAACAGCAGATATCCACAAATGATAAGTGAGTGAGGAAAAAGTACATTGGTGTGTGGAGTTGAGGACTGATCCAGATTAAGGCAATCATGCCTGCATTTCCCAACAAGGTGATAGCATAAAGGATAAAAAATGTCACAAAGAGGATGAGTTGCAAGTGTGGATCATCAGTCAACCCTCTGAGTATGAATTCTGTCACCCGTGAACTGTTTCCCATTGAATCAAAGAAGCTCTGTGGAAACTGAAAGAATGTAATAATCAGAATAATATAGTATCTGACCAATGGAAAGGTGCAAACAAGAGTAAGATATTCATAATGAGAAATTAGTTATGATTTCAATCAAAATAAAATGAACCTGATTAAAATTCAGCTTATGAATCATCACCCAATGTGGATGCAGAAGGATGAGAAGATACAATATAACATCCACACAGGGTAGATTTCTTCATTATGTAGTGACCAAAGATACAAAATGTTGAACTTGACATGCTGAAAAAACACATGGACCAAGAATGAAAAGCCACCTTCCTAGGTAGGGTATGTCAATAATATTTTTACCCTTCCTTATTATTACTGAAAAACAAGCAAATTTCATGGAGTAAAAGATGAGAGGCTAGTTTGTGACCTAAATGGTTATCAATGAAAGAAAATGAAACATTTGGTCCTAGGAAAAGAAAATGGAATGGTTAAAGAGAAATCTGCATGTTATTATTTTTCAATTCCTCAAATTGCTGAAAAATAGTGAAAAAGAAGAAAATAATTCCATTTCCCAATCTTCCTAGAATGATATAGGATAGTGGTTTATCAGTAGTTTCTATTAGAATTATGTTTATAAAGAAAGTGTTTTTAATACTGAGCAGTTTTAAAATATTCAGACTAATCTGATAAATCCCAGAAAATCCCAAGCACCCTGAACTTACCTATCGACTCCGATCTCAGTGACATCTACAATAGCATTCCTTATTTTCTGATTGTAAGTGGTTGCTTCTATATGAAATGAGTTAGGAAATTCTTTGCTTCTGGGAAGAAATGCAGATTTCTTTCAGGTTGCAAGTCTTCTTCATTTGGTCCCAGCATTTCCTTGTCTGTCTGTTGATCTTGGTTTGTGCAAGAGATCCTGAATCTATTGGGAAACGTTGCTATTCCCTAAGTAGTCCTGACCTTAGAAAAATGCTTTCTATTAATTATCATTAACAGAAATTGGAGCTATATTAGCAATAGCAATAGCAATAGCAGTTAGACTTATATACTGCTTCATAGGGCTTTCAGCCCTCTCTAAGCGGTTTACAGAGTCAGCATATCGCCCCCAACAACAATCTGGGTCCTCATTTTACCCACCTCGGAAGGATGGAAGGCTGAGTCAACCTTGAGCCGGTGAGATTAGAACTGCTGAACTGCAGATAACAGTCAGCTGAAGTGGCCTGCAGTGCTGCACCCTAACCACTGTGCCACCTATTGCAACTATTTAATGTCCAATTAATAAATATGATTGAAAATTGTAGCTTACTTTTGAAAAGTTGCTATAGCAATAGCAGTTAGACTTATATACCGCTTCATAGGGCTTTCAGCCCTCTCTAAGCGGTTTACAGAGTCAGCATATTGCCCCCAACAACAATCCGGGTCCTCATTTTACCCACCTTGGAAGGATGGAAGGCTGAGTCAACCCTGAGCCGGTGAGATTTGAACAGCCGAACTGCAGAACTGCAGTCAGCTGAAGTAGCCTGCAGTGCTGCATTTAAACACTGCGCCACCTCGGGTCTATCTGCTATACATTTGAAATGTTAGTTGACGTATGCCAATGGACATCTACAATTTTCCTTATATGACACAATAATTTCAACCATCAACTTGTTCCCAGTGTTATTAGTGATTGTATCTGTTTGTTTCTATTTGTTTATTTCTTATTATCTCTTGGTTATAATGAAAGTTTGAATGGTCATATATTAAAGATGACATACCTAAGACTGACTCAAGGCTATCTATTGATGAAGGAGCATTTTGGGAGGGAGTGCTTGAAATATTTTTGTTTTTAAAGCTTTCGGGGATGAAGAAAGAAAGAAAGAAAGAAAGAAAGAAAGAAAGAAAGAAAGAAAGAAAGAAAGAAAGAAAGAAAATAGAAAATAATAGAAAATAGAAAATAATAGAAAATATCTTGATTGGCTGCCTCTAAGTAAAGGCCACATAACACTGCAAATGTTTGCATACAGAGATGGTGTCTTGTGACAAAGCTGGATCATCTACAGATACTTTCTCGGTTACTGGTAGCCCTTGACTTATGACCAAAATTGAGCCCAAAATTTCTGTGGTTAAGTGAGACATTCATTAAGTGAATTTTGCCCCATTTTGTGACCTTTCTTGTCACAGTTATTAAATGAATCATAACAGTTGTTAAATTCATAACAAAGTGGTTAAGAGAATCTGGCTTCCCTATTGAATTTGCTTGTCAGAAGGTCACAAAAGATGATGATATGACCATGGGATATTGCAACTGTCATAAATATGAACCAGTTGCTAAGCATCTGAATTTCAATCACGTGACCATGGGAATGCCACAACTGTGGTAAGTATGAAAAATGGTCATAAGTCACTTTTTTCAGTGCCATTGTAACTTTGAATGGTCATTAAACGGTTGTTGTAAGTCAAGGACTACCTGTATTCTCATTAACTTTTCATCTCTGCTTCTCATCATAAGATATGAATAATAGTAAAGGTAATTGATTAAAGTTGATTCTTGTAACACTTGAATGAGCCTTTACCTGCTGACATCATGAGGTTCTCTAATGTTTCCATGTCTAAGATAAACACTTTCCTGGAAAAGGGATTTTTAAGCTATAGATCTCTTATTTTACAAGAGATAAAAAAGAAAGAATCCTACCAGTGTGTACTTTTTTTGTTTTTAAATCTATTTCTTGGAGTTATCCTCTTTTGCTATCCTCTTAATCTTCCATCCTTCATCAATTTTTTCATATATTCTTCACTGTATTTTCACACCTTCCTGATCATTGACACAGATAGCTCTCAGCCTTAGGTGGATGATCCTAACATCGTGGGGAAGAAAATCTCCCTAAGGTTGGGATGGCCACCAAAAATGGGTCATCTTCCAGAGCAGCTGGAGTGGAAGGATCTTGAACTTTCCTTCCGGGAATAGCTAATGCAAGGGAACTCTACAATTTGGGAGCTAACAAAAATTTGACTTCTGCGTATAAATGTATTGGTGACCAGATTGTTCCTGTGATATAGTTTTTCTAAATCTAAGCCAGACCTGGATGGTTAGCAAACAAGCCCATGCATTGTAAATTGAATTTCCGAGTAAGCTCAGTAGTTAATATTTTTACAAATTAATAAGAATTGAATAACTGATGTCAGAACAGTCTGCTCTTGCATAATTGCATCTGACCCAGCAACCAAAGCTAGGCAAAGATGCTCCTGGCCATGGTTTCCATTTTGAAGCAGGATTCTTGAAAAAAAAACAAGATCATAACCTGCTCCTTTTTCAATAGTGTAGTGTAATACAATTCAGAAGCATTTTTTTGAAGTATCTAGGAAGATTTCATCTTCCTGGTCATGATACCCCAGGTTCTTCAGCACCTAAAATGCTTGCGTGATGAAGTGGCTGCAAACGAGAACTAAGCTGAGAGAGCACAAGGGATTCCACAATCCAAAACTCAGCCCACTAGATTTCTGACACAGGAACCCCAACCCTATTTTTTATCTGATCAGGTATGATAAAGTCTATTGCCTTTTCTCCAATCACTCATGTTGGTGCATGGTCTTATTGTGGATCCAAAACTTTGATTCCATTGTCAAAAACCTTCCTGGGTAAATTTTTGTTTTGGACACTCCTGCTTGGAGAGGGGGTATGAGAGAGAGAGAGATGGGAGGTAGGGAAGAAAGAGGGAGAAAGAAAGCTATAAAAATTATTTTGGTGAAGAAAAGAACAATTTTTTTCATTCTTACCATTTTTATTATCATTTTTGCTTCTTTAAAATGGTTCCTATTTACTGGGTATTAAAAAGTACATAGATGCCACTGAATTTATATCCCTTTCCTATTGCAAGAATATATTTGAAATCAAAGGAAGTATGGGCAAAATTTTGTAAGAACAATTACATTCTGCTCTGGTAACCAAAATGAACATAAAATGACTAGCATATTAATGAACATTATCAGCAAAAGTACGAAAAGGCTAAGAAATAATTTGAAATACATTGTGATTGGCCTTTGACTTTATATAAAGATATGGCAATGGTGGGTTTCAAATTTTTTAGAACCTCTTCTGTAGGTGTGGCCTGCTTTGTGGGAGTGGCTTGCCAGCCATGTGACTGGGTGGGAGTGGCTTGCTGGTCATGTGACCAGGTGGGAGTGGCTTGCCAGCCATGTGACTGGGTGGGCATGGCCAACTTGTAAAATGTGTTGAAACTCACTTAACAACACTCGTGCTTAGCAACCAAAATGTTGGCTCAGGAACTCTGGCATTGAAGTGTGCAAGTCTTAAAGCTGTCAAGATACAAGACACTTGCACCCCTAACCCTTTAGAAAAAAAACCCCAGGGGTGTTCAAACCTGACAGCTTTAAGACTTGTGGACTTCAACTCCCAGAATTCCTCCTCTCGCTCTTCATCTTGATGATGTGCAGACGGGCAGGGGGAGGGAGCTGGAACTGGTTCTAAATGGCACTGTAGATTTGTGGAACCTCTTCTATAGAAGAGGTTAGAACTGGCAGGAACCCACCCCTGCCATATGGTAACCCTTGTGTGCAAATCTGAGTGACCAGAGTGGGAATTTCAATGCAGAAACACAGAAGACATAGATGTAAAGACAATTTCCACACGGTCCCATTTGGTTTTACACAGAGTGATATTTCAATGCTCAGCCCTGTTGAACAACGGTCCATGGGAACTAAATTACTGTAATTACTTGGGTGGGAAGGTTGCACCTTTAGGATTTTGCATGCAGCAGCCACTGAATGGTTCTTTAATGAAAATGCATAATTGGACATAGGACATTAATCTAGGCCATCCTTGTATATATTTTATTTAAAAAAGCAATAAGAGATTTAAGCCACTTAAATTGAACCAGCATTTATTAAGTCAAAATATCAGAGGAGACAGACCAGATCAGACTTTGATTGAAACAATTTCTCTTTAACATGGATGTTTAAAATTGCAATTTTTATGATTACAAAACAATCCCAGTTTGGTTTTAAATATGTATTTCACATTATTATTTTACATACATTTATATTACATTACGTATATGTCACCATCTTTAACATTTAGCAATTAGATTCCATTAATTGGTTTTATGAAAAATATAATATCTTGGAGAAATATTTAAATATGAATGTTTTTGTTGTCAAAATATCCCTGAGGAACATTGCTATAGTCACTAAAATGGTAGTAAAACTAATTTAGTCAAGACGTTTTCCAAGCAGAAGTGTGTCAGAAAAACACAGTTAATATACCCATAATTGCTTCTACAGTTCTATATTTTACTGGTCTTTTCATGGTATTCAGTTTTTGGTATAAAAGATAACACAGTTTTTTCCCCCCAGAATTTTTCTGAAGGCAACCTTTACCTCCTGATTCCTCAGGCTGTAGATGAAGGGGTTGATCATCGGAGTCACTACAAGATACAACACAGAAGCTATTTGATTGATGTAGATAGACTTGGTAGGTTGTGATTGTGCATACACAAAGCCAGCACATCCGTAGAAAATAGTGATGACCATGAGATGAGATGTACACGTGGAGAAGGCTTTCTTCTGAGATTTGGCAGAGTCCATCTTAAAAATAGCAATCAGGATATAAATGTAGGATGTGAGAACAATGACCATTGTTGCTATTAAAGTGAAGCCAATAAATATAAATTTCAACAGATTATTGAAACTGATATCTGAACAGGCAAGCTGTAATAGTGAAACACCATCACAGACAAAATTCTTAATGATGTTTGGTCCACAGAAGAACAACTGAGTTGCAGGAATGATATGTAATAAACCATGTAAAACCCCAGTAACGTAGGAAACGACTACTAGTCGGACACATTTTAATTGGGACATGATGACCAAGTAGAGTAGAGGGTGACAGATGGCTACATAGCGATCATACGCCATGATCGCTAGGATGTAACACTCTGCAGTGGAAAATACACCATAAAAATAAGTTTGAATAAAACAGCCTGCAAAAGAAATAACCTTTTTCTCTTTTACAAGATGACTTAGGAACTTTGGGGTGATAATTGATGCAGTGCAGATATCCACAAATGATATATGACTGAGGAAAAAGTACATTGGTGTGTGAAGTTTAGGACTGATCCTGAATAAGACAATCATGCTCACATTCCCTAACAGGGTAATAGCATAAAGAGTAAAAAATATCACAAAGAGGATGAGTTGCAACTGTGGATCATCAGTCAATCCAGTGAGTATGAACTCTGTCACCTGCGAGCTGTTTCCCATTGAATCAGATAAATTATGTGGAAATTGAAAGAAGGCAGTAATCAGAATTATATACTATTTGACCAGTGGAAAAATGCAAAGAATAAGATATTCATTATGAGAAATGCACTATGGTTTCAATCAAAATAAAATTGCATCAGATTAAAATGTAGCCTACAACTCAAGGTGGATGCACGAGAGGGATAGGAATATATTATATAACATCCATGTTCTTTATCTTATATTTGATCAAAAGTACAAATTATTATTTATTTATTAATTTGCAATTTATTTTATTTTATTTTTATACAAGCAATTCATCTTCCATTAAACAGTGTGTCATCTGGGTATAAATGTTTTGTGCAATAACAATTAAAATTTACAGTCATATTCATTATTTAATCTATTCTTAGCTTAATACCAACAGCATACATGTCTAATACTATAACAATCCTCTTTCTGATTTATTTAACTCTATTAACTATATTAAAAAGTACAAACTATTGACATGTTGAAAGAACACATGGACCAAGAATGAAAAGCCACCTTTGAATGATGTGACAATAACATCAACTTTCTTCCTTAATATAATTAAAGAATAATCATATAGAGTACAGTAAGAGGTAGAAAGGGAGTTTGTGATCTAAAATCTTCAAAGGATGACACAAGACAGTTTTGTCTTCGAGAGAAGAGGAAACTGGAAATACTTAAAATGTTGGACGGTAAATCGACATGTTGTTATTGTTGTATTCCTCGAATATCTGGTAAGCAATGAAAAAAGAAGTCATCTTCTCTGTTACTCCTGAATGTTGGTTGAGCAACTTTATCAGATTGTATCTGATAAATGGTATAATAATTTATCATTAGTTTCAACTAGAATTGGGTGTAAAAATAACAGTTTCTGTCTTTAATACATGGCAATTTCAAAATTCTCACCCTATTCTGATAAAAATAAAAAGACGCCAAACAGGCTAAATTTACCCATTTACTCTCATCTCAGTGACATCAACAATAATTTAGAGCATTCCTTCTTTTCTGAATGTAGGTGGATTGCTTCAACATGAAATGAGTTAGGGAGTTCTGGGAGGAAATGCCGATATCTCCCAGCTCCAGGATCCTGGTGTTCTTAATTTGGTTGTTTCCTCGGCTGTCTTTTGGTCTGTGCAGGAAATCTTATTTCTAATGGGGAAACTTCTCAGTCTCTAAGTAGTTTCGAACTTAGACAAATGTTTTCTATTAATTCCCATTATCAGAAATGAGAACTGCACTGTAATTTTTCAATGTTTAATTAATAAGCTCCCTTGAGCTTACTAGTTTATTTCACTTTTGAGAAGTTGAAATTCACTTGGAAAAGTTAACATGAGTCAGTTGAATGTGGAAATGAATATCCAGAACTTTCCTTAGATGACATAACCATTTCAACCACTGTTGTAAACTCTTGTGTATATTTAATTTTACTTGTTTGTTTATTAATACCTGTCAAGTATATTTATAATGTAAATATGAATGGCCATACAGTAAATTAATGATGGAGTATCCTATTGTTGAATAAATTTGTTTTTGGAAGGAGAGGGTGTTGATAAATTTAGGTTTCTACAGCTCAAGGAAGGGAAGAGAGGGAGGGAAGAAGGAAGGAAGGAAGGGTAAAGCGGTATATGTATCTATGTAAATAACAGGAATATATATCGTTAGAGATCACTACAAAATCTTCTTTGTTGCCCTCTGAGAAAAAAAATGCAATAAAAGATCCAAGGCTCAAGAACACATCAGTTAACCCACCTTTGCAGGATCTTCTTATCATTCTACAGGGTGGATAGAAAGACTGATACCTCTGCCTACTATCCCTGTGAAGCTTGGATATAACCAAGAAACTACCTTCAACTGTCCTTTTGTTTTGTTTCAGAAGCAACTTTTCCCACATTGCCTGGAAAGCAGAATGGGGAGGGGTTATTCTTAACGAGTTTTACTGCCAGGGAATGTTTAACACAACTCCCTTTCTATTCTAATGTTTCCTATTCGAACACTGAGATCTTATGTAGGAATGAAGAACCTGAGAAAAAAAACAGCAGGCAATATCTGTGAAGCTCTAAGTGATGGCGAACCTATGGCATGCATGCCAGAGGTGTCACACAGCACCCTCTCTGTGGGCATGCGAGCCATTGCCCGAGCTCAGCTCTGCTGCTCTTGTGTGCATGCCTCCCGCTGGACAGCTGGTCTTCGGGTATCTGCCATTAACCATATGGCTAACCATATTAAATTTTTCTTATGTTTATGATATAAAAGACAGTTTTCCCCACAAACATAATGTATTTTTAAGATTAATTTCAAAGTCTGAATATTCAAAATCCAATGTTCCAATGTTTGTCATTAATTTAAAACTTTCAACAGCCTTGCCTTATTTTTGCTCTTTATTTTAATTACAAATATTATAAAGATAGATATTCATTTTCAAGCAGTTAATAGGAAATCTCTGAAAGTGGTAGCAAGGGAAGTGGAATATTGATGATGAATTCTCTTGACTTCCAATTCTTATCCCATCATGAGGAGCAACCCTTAAGGAGAACAGCTTGGGCAACCTCATGTCCTCTCTTTGTCCAGAGAGGATTGACAGAGCCTACCTATTCATGGCTCCACGTTTCACTCAGCTGATATAAATTCACCTGCTTTTTTAACCAAATCTATTGAAAAATAATTTAATGCCGCCTTCATTTTTAAACTCTTTTAATTTCAAGCAAAGAAACATGTTGTGTTTTTCTGGCCCCCAAATCTGAATCAAAAGATCAGTGAACTATACAACTGCAGAAAGGAAAAGGATTATAAACATGTTTGTGTGTGTGTGTGTGTCCTGAGATTGAAAATGGAGTGATGGACAGGAAATTATATATTCTCTTCTAAGAGCTTCTGACTGCTTGTTCCCGTCTCAGAAAATAATAAAAAGTGGCAAGTTGAGAATGTGGAAGTGAATTGGTGCAGAAAAAAAATATAAATCTAATGTTCCAAAGGTGCTTTTTCAAGAGGCAACTGGACTTTCTGGACATCCAGGAAAAAAAAAAACACCTTTGGGACAACCATGATCTGGATGACTGAGATTCTCCATAAAAATATAAATCCAATGTGCTCCTGCCCTATTAATCTACTGTTGAAGTATCATGTTGTTAGCATTGGTGCTGAAAAATAGTTGGAGTTTTAGTGAGAAGGTAATGGAAACGATTATTTTGCCATACTTTGATCATGCAGTAAGACTTTAGATAACTTAGATCTCTCTGAATGTTAAGATTATCCAGGCTACCTAAAGCAAAGGTGGGTTGCCAATTTTTTTACTACTGGTTTGGGTGCACTCCCGCATGTGCTCCTGCCACTTCTGCACATGTGCAGAAGCATTCAGGCAAGTGAGTTGCCGTTACTACCAGTTTGTCCAATCTGGGCCGAACTGGGAGTAACCCGTCTGAACTAAAGGATAAGAAAGAAATATGTTCATTTTTTTTTCATTTACTTTATTTGTATGCCGCCCTTTTCCCTGAGGGGACTCAGGGCGGCTCACAATTCAGGGGGAGGGAAGGACAAACAAGTTGCAAACATGAAGACAATACATCATTAAAAAAAGCACAACAGTCATACTATTCGAGTGGGGTTGAAGTCTTTAGCCCCAGGCCTGTCGGGACAGCCAGGATTTAAGGGCTACGCAGAAGGTCTGGAGGGTGGTGAGGGTACGAATCTCCACGGGGAGTTCGTTCCAGAGGTACCTACTCTCTCCCTCTCCCTATCTATCTATTGTATTTCTCTCTTTCTATTTGTCTCTCTATCCACCTACCTACCTACCTACCTACCTACCTACCTACCTACCTACCTACCTACCTACCTACCTACCTAC